GCAGCAGCAGCAGCAGCAGCAGCAGCAGCAGCAGCATCTCTACCTTGGTGAAGAGCCTCCACCACTGCCAGTTCCTGAGTTTGAGGTAGGCAGCACAGTTCCTCTGGATCACCTTCATAGCAGTCAGCTGCTGCTGCCTCTTGGCGAAAGCCCTGCAGAGAAATAAGACCACGTTCAAGCGATGCAACAGAAGAGCAGCCGGCCAACCCGACGACCTCTCTGTACTCACCTGCGGGCCACGTAGCCTCTGCACCAGGCCTGGAAACTGATGATGATGTCAGTGATCTTCATGTCTCGCTCCTCCTCCAGGTGAGCCAGGACGCCGGCCCTGAAGAAAACTTTGCTCTGACCCATACGGTACAGGTTTGAGTCCAGCTCCAGGCTTTTGATCTGGGACAACAGGAAGTTGAGTCATAATCAGTGACGGTACTCTTTTCTTTGTTCACACATCGTGAGGTTCTGGTTCTGGTCGTACCATGAGCAGACAGGCTTGTTTTCCATCCATGAAGCCCTTTGGAATGGCATTAGGAGTCAAGATTTCATACCTGTGTGGGGGGAGGTGGGGAGGTGGGGTGGGGGGCAGATGAGAGGATTTAGTATTTTATTGAACAACAAGATCAAAGAGACAGACCGCAGCGTTGTCACGACCTCTGTCTGAACTCCTGGAAGACGATGCGGTTGGGGAAACCCTGTCTGCAGATACGGATGCCCTCCAACACACCGTTGCACCTCAGCTGGTCCAGAACCAGGTGTGGGTCCAGTTTACCAGCCTGTGGGGAGACTGTGTTTGTCAGTAGACTGATTCTACAGTAACTGCAGACACTGAACTTCACCACTAGAGGTACCACAACAGAACTTCAGAACCAAAACAACATGGTCTGTGGGTTCCACGCTGCCCCCATCTTCTCTACTCTCTGAGGAGAACCACTCCTACAGAGTATGACTTCAATACCTTCTTCTCGTGGTTGGGGATGATGCAGCGGACAAAGTTTGGGTTCGTGTTCCTCAAAGTGGCCATCAGCCTGGACAGCTGCTCCTTGTACAGCTGGCCCACTGTGCGGAACATGCCTTTCCGGGTCTTGAAGGCACCAGGCATCTCGGACATGCCAGACACCTTATCCAGCCCCACGATGTGGTCCACTGCAGAGGGAAACAGACCGACAACCAGGGATGGAGGAAGTTACTCCATGAAAATAAAATGAAGGGTTCAGCAACTCAACAAACCAACCAAGAAAATTCAAACCAAACACAAGGCACCGAACAAGACAAATACAACCACTGACCGTCAGCTGTCTGTTGGCAACTGTACCAGGAGACAGCTGAGGTGGAGGAGTGGAACAACACACACACACACACACAGACAGTGGAGTGAACATGGATGGGTCAAGAAAGTCCAGTGAAGTGAGTGAAACCACAACCAAACACACCATGACACCAGGAGTACTGTGTGTGTGTGTGTGTGTGTGTGTGTGTGTGTGTGTGTCTCAGAGTGATGACAAACACTGGTGCTCAGAGTGGGCACGTCAAAAACAAACCAAACCCATGCAATATATATATATACCCATTGCTGCAGTACCAAAGACCAACACCAGGGGTCCCCATACAACACTATTACACAGAGGGAGAAAAGGAGAGTTGATGTGCAGACTGAGAAAACCTGGAAGTTGTTTTTCTACCTGAGTGAATCCAGAAGATCAAACAGTGACAAATGTTTGTAAAGACACGATGAGACGTGAACAGAGAAATGATGAGGTTCTACTGAACAACAGGAGACACCGAGGGAAAAGGAAGTCCTCATCACCTGAGTCCGAGTGCAGAAAAGGGAAACGCTGATAAAAGTAGGCTCTTTGACATTGTGGTATCTCTGAGAGCCAACAAATAAAAAGATGTGGGAAAAAAACGGAGCCGTTGACGGAAAAGAAAAGAAGAGGACGGTAACAAGGAGTGGTCAAGGTGAGAAACAAAGGTTGGTCCACCAGAGGGTAAAAGAATAAAAGACAGAATGAATTCAACACCAGAACCAATACAACAGCATGACTCTACACCACCCCCCCCCGACTCCCCCCCCCCGGAGCTGCAGTGACTCCTGTCTGGACTCACCGTCCTTCCACAGCTCAGAGACAAACTTGTCAGTGGACAGGTTGAGCAGTGAGGCCACGTTGTCATTCAGTGGGTCCATGTTCTTCATCAGCCACTCATCGGCCTTGTAGTCTACCTATGGGGGGGCGGGGGGGGGCACAGCACAGGTCAGGACAACGGTGGACATTCTTAGGAGGAGTTCTTCTTCGTGGTCTGCGTCTCCACCGACCTTGCCGGCGTAGTGGATGATACAGAAGTCTGCCTCGTCCTTCAGTTTCTTGGGTTTGAAGAACTTGGGGTGAGTTCCCTGCTCCTGCAGAACCTTCTCCACAAAACTCTTGTCTGTGGCCTTGGGAAACCAGCACTCCTCGTCCAGCAGAGCCAGAATTCCTGGGGGGCTGGCCTGGAAACACAGGTTGACAACACAAGTCAATAAAAGGATCACAGATCAGAGACCGACCCCCCCCAGCCCCCCCCCCAGGATGAAAAGAAAACCCAAACCCTCACAGGTTTCTCGATGAGGTCGATGCAGGGCTGCAGGTCCAAGCCAAAGTCGATGAAGCTCCACTCGATGCCCTCCCTCTGGTACTCCTCCTGCTCCAGGATGAACATGGTGTGGTTGAAGAGCTGCTGCAGCTTCTCGTTGGTGTAGTTGATGCAGAGCTGCTCGAACGAGTTCAGCTGGAGGAGAGAGAAGATGAGGTTGGAACAGAGTCAAACATCTGTGGACGTTCATTTACCGACCGGTTTTTAAACCTCAAAGATCTCGAAGCCAGCGATGTCCAGGATGCCGATGAAGGAAGCCCCCTGTCTCTTGGTCTTGTCCAAGGCTTTGTTGATCCTCATGACCAGCCAACGGAACATCCTCTCATACGTGGCCTTGGCCAAGGCCTCCACAGCAAACTCTGCCTGTTCCTGGGTCTGGGCCTTCTGGACGTAGTCTCGGCCCACCTTGATCCTGGGGGAGAGTATGGCTCTGGTGAAGTCGGTCACGTTCATGCCCATGAGGTGGCAAACCTTCTGTGCAGCTGTGGAAGAGGAGGAGGAGGAGGAGAAGATAAATCTACTGACACCGACACCTCCACTGACCAGGGTGGTGCAGTAGGTCAGGGTGACCTGCAGGGGGGGGTGAAGATAACCAGGTACCTGTGTTATCTGGCATGGAGGCCTGGTCCGTGTGTCGCTCCTTCTTGAAGCTCATGTTTCCCATCTGCAGAACAGAGGCCACCACCTTCAGCAGCCCTCTGCAGGAGAAGGTCAGGAGGTCAGGAGGTCAGGATCAAAGAGGCCACTCTGCTGAACTGAGACCTTCTCTCAAAGAAACCTCACCGATTTGCTCATCCTCTGGAATACTCATGATCTTCATGGCCTCCATGGTCTCATGGAACAGGTCCTTGTCCTGCTGCCCAGGAATGATGACGTTCCCATTGGACAGGAAGCGGTAGTTGTTGTAATTTTCAAGCAGGAGTTCGTCTGAGAGGAGGACGGCAGGTGTGAGGAGGAGGATGTTACCAACCAATGAGAGACTTGAAAGGTGTGAAAACCTTCGTCTTACTGCGCAGCTTGTCTCCAGAGCCTGTGAGCAGGTAGTAGAAGACGTGGAAGGTCCTCTCCTCCTTGGCCTGGCGAATGGCACGAGACTTCTCCAACAGGTCTACAGGTCGCTCTGTCAAGGACGACGGCCAAGGTTCAATCTGATCTATAATGCACACAGGTGAAACCAACAGCTCGGTGGTGAAGGATACAAGTTTCAATGTTGGCACCGACGATGTAGCCGTTGACATCAAAGTTGATCCTGATGAACTTTCCCTGTGGAAAAAAAAAAAAAATTTAAACCAATGACGTTGTTCAACAGAAGCACGACGAGAAAACTCAACCAAGACTCACGAATCTGGAGGAGTTGTCATTTTTCACTGTCTTGGCGTTTCCAAAGGCTTCCAAGATCGGGTTGGCCTGCAAAAGCTGCTTCTCCAGCTCCCCCTAGTGGAGATCGGGAAGATGGCAAGAGGAAGTATAAAAGAGCACCTTATATTTGAACTGCAGTCTGTGGAGGACTGAAACAAAAATGATATTTAATGTGTTTCAAATCGACAGGAACTCCTTATGTCTGCTGTCAGGACTGACCTCAGTGTTGGACCAGTGATGTCCTTCACCTCAACATTTGGTCGTCAATCAGTTTGTTAAAACAATGTTCATTTACCTTCAATACATTTATTCTTAATTCACATCTAATAAGAAATTCAATGAAAGGCTTCATCAATGTTTATCAATGTCAAAAATCCAGGTGTCAGTTACACAAGGACGATGAACTGAGATGAACTGAGATGAACTGAGATGATGGAACAAACAACAACATTAAAACAATAACAGGAGGCAACAAACATACACACACACAGGCATTTCCATTCTTCACACACATCAGGTTAGCACCCACATCCGTAAACACCCAGAGACCATGTGACCCTCCACAGTGAGTGACCCATCACCTGTTAACCAGAGGTTAACTAGTACTATCCAACACCAGCACCAACAGCGTCTGTTCCTGACGCACGTCCTGAAGTTGTTTGGTTACAATAGATACATCCTTATATTAGGTGTAAAGTTTTAGTACAAATGAGGCAGAACTCTGCCCTGAACAGTTAATAAATGATTGTAAATGTAGTTTTTGGTCCTTCCTTGGTTTAACTGATGTGTGGAGTTTGGACTGGTGACCAGCAGATACACAGGAACGAGGCAAAAGAAACTTCAACTCAGTGCAGGCACAAAGTAGCAACAGAGGGAAGGAAACATTCAAGCAGACAAATAGAAGGAAACACCAATGGGACGGCAAACACCTCTTTTGTACCCCCCCCCCCAGCCCCCCCTTCATTGTCTGCTTGAATCTTTCACTGGAACACACAGAGCTGCCACTGGTCTG